AAACGGACTGGCCCACCGGGAATTCTCCCGGTCCTCCCGATTAGCCAATCCGGGCCTGCATTGCAGTATCTATGCTGAAACAATATATTGTACAATTTATCACTTCAAACTATTAAAAATGTTCATAAAAGTCACTTTTTTAACTTTTCAAGGTTGAAAGGTGTTGGAAGAAAGATCAAGGTCCCATAATGCAATTCAAAAGCATAAAAAAACTGAAAAATAAAAACATGAATCACAAAATACGGAAAACTGTTAATTTACGAATATTTTTAGTGTATTTTTTACTCTGTTTTTAAAGCAAGCTCATTTCTTTCATTATAAAGTGTTTGGTAGAACGATCTATATTATTTCTTGTGGTTGTGCAATTTGAATACCTTTTCGATTTAATAAATTCCTTTTTTGCACTTTGCAATGTGCACAGTGTGGAGCTTTTTCAATCCATGAACCTATAAGGAGAGAAATGTTGCTGGCCAATATTGCAGAGCGATGTTTATTGACTGCTATTATGCTGAAAATTAGAAACATCAAAATATGAGTTCTTATAAACTTAATTGTTTTATGTTTAATCCACTTGAATTTGTAAAAACAATCATATTAACTTAATCAGTTTGTTTTGGGACAACATGAAGAAATTGTATGGAACCCAGCATTTTTTTACAGCGTAGTTACCAGTAGTTGTGGTAGTATGAATACTTTTAACTTAAGTATTTATTTGAGGACATACTTCTTTACATTAACTGAGTGCAAACATGTAGTCAGTCCATTTTTAAACACATGTATCTGTTCTACTAAAGATGTGTGTACTTTTGCCATCTCTGATGATCTCATTTGTCCCAACTAATGATTTGATGTCTTTATAACTGATAACACTATCTGCTCAATGACATTGCTTAAGGAAGCAGGCATTCGTAGAAAGAACAATCACAGAAATTTGAATGTGAATATACAACGTAGTTTAATTGTTTAACGACTTTCACGCAAAATGACCCATTAAATTAAATATGCCCGATTTTACACACATTACAAAACTCATCTTACAGCTCCAAAATCCAAATTAGTTGATCTTGTTTTAATATTTACATTTACAATTATTTATCAGGAAGAATCTTTTAATTACAGTACAATTTGATGATTTTATATCATTTTTATACATAAAATTTACTATAGACACCAATATGGGATGATATCTCGTCATCTATACTCTAGATTTGTAAACAGAAGCGCAATCAGGGCGACAGGGCAAAACATCAGTTTGTAGTGTACAACCGCATCAATGCAACATCAACTGTTTTGGTTGAACCAGTCTCACCATATGACAGTTGCGTTATTTAGACATGATGATGAATAAGCAGAATGAATTAATAATAAAGAGTGGGATGTGTCCCACACAAGTCCAAGCAAGAAATAACTTGTTAAATGGGTGTTAAACGTGAAGTTTTGTTGGTGATGGTTGCTAAATGTTCTCTTGGACCCAGAATGTTAGAAACTGGTAACCATTGACATCCATAGTAGCAAAAAGCAAATAATATGGAAACCGATGCATACAGTTATCCAACATTTTTCTAAATATTTTCTTTTTTTGTTTAATCGAAGAAAGGAAGTCAAATAGGTTTGTTAGAAGTGAAATATTCAGATTTTATTTTTTCAGGTTTGGATGAACTATAGGCCTGTAAATCAGAATTGATGTGTTTTAAAATTAGTGTGTAATCAAACTCATAAATAAAAAAATCTTACATTTTTTAATGCCTAATTAAATTATGCACCTTTAATTTAGAATAAGTGCTTATTGTTTGGTCATGAATACCATTGAGATATTGTTACTGTGATATAAAAAGACGTGTACTCACACAATCAGTGATGTTAAACACTGGACTGACGATCATATCTTAAGAAAATAAGTCATCAGTCTCAACTGTGGATACCATGTCTGATTGTAAACACAAGCCTCACATCTGTGTTTGTGTTGCTTTCTGGGTATTTTTGTAGTCTTGTGGGACTGTCTGGAACAGACCGAGAGACTTCAGTGGTCAATGTGTCGACCGAAATGTATGCTTTACTTTTGATTTACACAGGCATTGGTGTATATTTACATTTTACTGCTCCTCTGTGATCATAATGCTCATCATGATCAGTGTGGCACCATGTAAACTTGCATTTCCATCTATTTGTTTTAATTATTTAGTTGTGCTTGCAAAGTCAAGGATAACTATTATTTCTATAGAGTAAGGCGTTTTGAATCAAGCCATTGAGAAACTACCCAAACTCTGAACATTTGACAAGCACATAGCAAACAGATTTTCATGATACATTAGTAACTGCATCTTAAAAGGACACGCGCACACACACACACACACACACACACACACACACACACACACACACACACACACACACACGCACACACAAACACAAAAACTTTTCTGAAAGATTGTTTGTTTTGCACATAATACAAAACTTTCGGATAAGATGTTAACGTCTTTCGGATGAGACTTTAAACCAAGGTCCTGGCTCTCTGTGGTCATTAAAAAGCCCACTTCTCGTAAAAGAGTAGAGGTGTAACCCCTCCACCAGCCCTTACCCATGGCCTACAAGTCATCCCAATCCACCAAACTGGTACTATCACTGTCTCTCCGCTCTTCCTATAGCTGGTGTGTGGTAAGCGCACTGGCGCCGTTGTCCAGTGACTGCCGTTGCATCATCCAAGTGGATTCTGCACACTGGTGGTGGTGTGGATTGACCCCCCTTGTGATTGTGAAGCACTTTGGGTGCATACATGATAAATGCGCTGTATAAATACACATTACATTACATTAAGATGAATTAGGAATTAAATTAGTAGAAAATTGGTTCATGTAGCTTTTCTTTTTTGAGCTGGTTTAATCTTCTGTGGTTAACCCAGATTGTCTCGATGTCACAGGTTATGAAGTTGTAGTTGACTATAGTATTGAGATTTTCATATGTTTCTTTACTTTGCATAAACAATAGAAGTCTTATATGGAAGGCAATATATATATATATATATATATATATATATATATATATATATATATATATATATAATCTGCAATCAAACCATTACATGAATCCTTCACAAACAAATATCCAGTGTTTGTTACACATTAATATATCCCAATGTGCCAACTTGTCACATACACTGAAAAAATGCTAAGTTCCACACAATTCCTTCATGTTGTGCCAAAACAAATTGATTATGTTTATTTTATTTAGTACTTTTATATGGATTAAACATAAAACAATTAAGTTTTCCCCCAAAAAAACCTTAATAATTGTGTTGATTCAGCTGATTCCTAAATAAGCAGTTTGAACACATTAAAAATCCTATTTTGAGTGTGTGCATATACTCACAAATCCTGAAATGCCATTGGCTGTTGTGCTTGTTGATGCATTGACATCATGTGTTTAGTTTGACAATTTAGGCCCTTATTATTTTTTGCCTTCAGTACACTTAATTATTAGCACCATCATGTATTGATTTCTTATGACGCACAGTTTAAAGATGTAAGACTGCATGGCACGTAAGTGAATTCTCTTTTATGTACTCTACATTTTTTGATCAAATTAATTAATTCACTATGTTATATCTTAAAAGGGATCGACTATACAAAAACCACTTTATAAGGTGTTTCAAGCACTGAAAGCTTCTATTAGTAAAAATGTATTATATTTATTTTTTATAATCTCACTTGATTAAAACAGTCTGCAGAAACACTTTGATTGACATTCATACTTTCTACGTGTCATCAGAGATGAAAAGCTCCGCCCATTAGTCATGATCACTCCCTCATTAGCATATAACGTCAGTCTTGTTTTTGAATCTGCCACTATGCTGACAGTCATCTGTAGCTCCACCCTCTTTTGAAAAGAGCACAATCTCATTTGAATTTAAAGCAACAGTCACCAAAACGCAAAAGTTAGGATCAAAGCTTAAAAGGGGCAGATTCAAAGAGTTATAAAACATTATTTGTGTGGTATTTTGAGCTTAAACTTTTTATACACACTCTAGGGACATCAGAGACTTATTTTACATCTTAAAAAGGGCATAATAGGCCCCCTTAAAAGCGTATCGGTGAAGCCAGCTTATATAAACACCACAAAAAAAGCATTAGAAGCTCAATCAATAACATGTTAATATATATATATGAATGAATGTTGGTAAACACTGTATAGCGAGCTTACAAATCTAGTATAGTTGATGGAGGGCAAAGTGAAAAACATTCGAATGCATTTTAAGCTGGTTTAGCTCTGTTTGATTTATTGTTGTCTTTAGCTTTACCAAAGGGTTAGTCTAGTTACTCTACTACTATGATATGCTATGCAGCACTGAATTTATAAATATATATTACTTTTAAATTTATAAGTTGGCACCCCTACCCAGTAGGACAAGTTTTGTATGGGAAAGCATGGTAATTTTAGACGTTAGACAGACTGTGTAATGGTACAGCTAGTTTTATCACCGCCTTTATAATGTGTGTGGTCAGTGGAGAATATCTCAGGACAGGCTGATCTCTGACATTTTGAGAACATTTGTCACATCGCGGTGTTCTTTACATCTTCATGCCAGTCGTGACTCCAGCTTTCGTGGTCTTGCAAGACGGGTGTATTGGCAGACATCGGTACTGAGAAAGCGTCTGTATGTTGGGTGTGAGCAGGCCATCGTCTCTCTGTGGGACGGGTCTGTGGGACACAGACTCGGACTGTTCTCTGACAGGGCAGGGCTTTTAAACGGGCCATCGTCTTGCGTTTTTGCAGGCTGCATCACTCGGCGACGCACATTCTTGCTCTTTTGCTCTGAATGGACGGCTTGTATGAGCTGCAACCTGAGCTTGAGCCTTCGAGGAGCTCCCGCACACACATATTCATTCATTATGACCACGTCTCGTTTTCTTCATCACCATCTTGTGCTCTTTTTCTGGCCAGTGCCCTTTAGAGTCGGATAATCTTTGATTCAAACGGTGTATTTTTGGTAGTAGAGAAGTTGTAATGGAAAGGTTATTAGCTTTGGGAGTATAACGTTGCATGAGAAACTTTCTTTTTTTCTGTGAGAACAAAGCTACTGGTAAAACAAAGGGAATTCGAGAGCACAGCTTAGATGCATTTTCTCTCTTTTATCATTTGTAACATTTGAACAATCGACCATCTGACACTTTTCCAAATGATCAACTAGAAGTCAAGTTATTTGTTGCACTTATAACTGGGATCCACGACAAAACTTTAGTCCGGTAGTGTATTGATATCGAAATATTAATATTGATATGTTTTGATATATTGCCCTAATTTGAATCCATCTCTTGTGATCACTTGCAATGCAAAGTACTATTAAACCAACAACAATAAAGCAAGCAAATGATTTGGTACAAACACCTTCTTTTAATGCACCTGCTCCCTAAATGTCCCATAACAATCACATGTAAGAGGCGTTTTGTAGCTGTTTAATAGGATTAAACCATGCTGTGGAAGCGATTAGATTTAATGCATTTTCAATGATTTCTGGAAGTGGTCAAAAGTTTTAGCCCCCATTCAAATTCCTGTATTTCTATTGACGATAGTGCGGCTTTATACCAGGTGTAAACGAGACCGTATTTGCTCTGCGTGTTTACATCCAGCGGCCTTTATGGTCACTGTTGTCCAGATTGCAGTAAAGCCATTTCCTGAACCCCTGGAGATACAGAAGTCACTCATACTCGCTGTAGATCACTGTTTGCTGGGGGATGGAAGACAGGGCGACCCTCAGCCTGCAGGATGTGTTCGGTCTTGTTGTGAATTTATTGCACAATCACTTTTTAAAACCTCTTCCGCTCTTATAAACTGAAGATGAGACACATGTGGTGCTCGTCCACAACTGTTGCACACCAGAAACTTGCTCAAGAGCCAAGCAAATTCGCAAGACTCTCACAGAGGGTGGAGTGACTCATGGAAAAAGTGAAGGACTTCTGCGGGGATTTGTCTTGGCATCTGTGAGATTTTGCAGTGTGACCTTCATCATAAGGATACACAGCTTTTCTCATACTAGAAATATGCGGTGCACTCTCCAATGATTTTTCATGCTTGTTCAGACTACTTACTTGAAATGAGCTGAAACAACACAATTCTTGATTTTTTTTGGGGGGGATTTTAATTGTTTTATGTTCAATCTACTTAAATGTGTTATGATAACTTAATGGATTTGTGTTGGGACCACGTGAATGATTTGTGTGGAACCCTGCATTTTTTAAGTTGTAGGATTTGCGCTAAAAATGGCTCGTTTATTGACTTCAAAGAGTGTAACATAAGCCCCTTTCACACAGTGATACCGGTAAATATCCGGAAAATTTCCGGAAAGACTTTACCGGTATATTAAAAAAAGCGCTGTTCACACAGGCGAGGATGTTACGGAAATTTTCCGGAAAAGAGCATTCACACATCCATCCCAAAATACCGGTAAATTCTGACATCATTCACCACAAATGAGCTTTAAACGGCTGCGCTTGTATTTGTAAACATTTGACTAAATTACAAACTCTGTGGATGATCAATATTGTGAACAACTTTCGCAGGATCACTTTCTCATGTCGAGATGTTCATAATATGTGCGTGTGCCGGCGCTCACAGGCTGTTCCACAGGCACACACAAAGCTTGAAGGTAAACAAACAACGGCTTATCATAAGCATCTCATCGATGATTATTTACACAGTTGGCATTAAGAAGAACATATAAACGTGATCTGACTAACTTCTAGCAGCTAAAAGTGTCTGGAAAAATATTCGAAGGCTTTTATGCTCACAAACCGCGCGGACGTAAATGCGTCTGACTGTTGTGATTGGCTAAAGCAGACGTCTCACGTCAGCACGTTCTAGACGTGCACGCGCTTATTACGGAAATCTTCCTTCTGCATTCACACAGCGCAGCATTCCGGCAAATTACCGGTAATGTTACAACTTCTCTTTCCGGAAAATAGCCAGAACGAATTTACCGGTATTTTCAAAAAGGACCTGTTCACACATACAACCTTTCCGGAAAATTGCCGGCAATTTTCCGGAAAGGTCTGTATGTGTGAAAGGGGCTAGTGTAATTGTTTCAACAATGTGAGTTGTTGTTGTTGCTCATAGATATATACATTAGATGTACCGACCCTGTTGTTGTCTATTGGAAGGAATGTGTCAATAGAGCCGCCATTTTAGTACAGGGTAGCGCTCCTTTGAAATGAATGCGGGACCAAGCTGCAGTGGAGGACTGTGGCCATCCAAAGCCAGAGAATTACACATATATACATATATCCGGGAGTTTTCCCAGAGGTCAGTATGAATTTTTTTTTTTTTTAACTACAAAATTATAATTTTACGTCACTTTTCTACATTGATGGATCAGTGATCGCACAGGCATTCCTGACAAAAAGCTTGTGTTTGTGTGTATGGAAATGTACTATCCACCCTCCCTGTTAAATTGGATCTAATCCGTGTCCTGAAACACACCTCCTCTCCTGCTTTTACTTCTCATACTGACAGAGGGAGCGATTCGTTTGTGATTGAATCTTCGTTATGAACGACTCGTTCACTAGCCAACAGTAATACAAGTTTCTGGCAGCGCAGCATCTGGTTGTCATAATTTATTTGTGTTGTTTGCTGATTTTATTCAACAAAACTAGCATTATCCGACTATTTAGTGTGAGTCCCAAAGCATCAAAGCTTTGCTTTGCTGAATGCAGTAAGTGACTGTATTATCATTAATATTGTACCTGTTTAGCACAAAAGTTCATAACATACAAAAACATAAACTAAACCTTTCCTTATGTAATGTTCTGCCTCTGTGCTTTGTTTTCTTTGTTGGCTCGTTACTACACCAATAGACAAAAAAGTCCAGCATCTTCACGTAGTAACACTGTCTTGACTAGTGCGGTTCAATGACATTTGTCCTGGGAGCACTGTACCAATGTGGCAGCGCTATTGATCATGCTCAGGGTCCCTAAGTGATATCTAGTGTATATGTCTATGTTTGTTGCGGAGTTATGCAAGATAAATAGAAACACATCTTGAGAGTGCAAAACAATACTGAGTTATCAATCCTTGAAGGAACTTTGTGAAACAGAAAAATACCCCCTTCTTTTAATATTTATAAGAAAAAAAGGTCACACTTTATTTTAATTTGTAATTCACGCCATTAACAATTTATTAACATATAGACTTTTAGCTCAATGAAGCTGCTCATTCATAGTTAGAAAAGTAGTGTAAATGGATGTTTTTACTAAATATACTGATAAACTATATTGAAGCAATGTCAAACAAAGGTCATTTTTATTGTTGACGTAGTTTTATGCAATAGCATGACATATTTCAACAACGAAAATAATCTTTAAAAAGAAGCCAGAGCAGAATATTTCCGCACCTTAGAGTAATGCTACTTTAATTAATCATTTATTCAATAATCCATTCATAATTAGAGCCACTTGCTTTGTTTCTAAAGGAATCAACTGTTTTGAATGAAGAGTGAATTCTCTAAATTAGTGGTTCAGTGAATCGCTCATTTAAACAGGGTGTTTTTTTCATTATATCCAGCAATTAGTAGCATAAAACAGGCAGTCGACAGAAATCTTGAAATGAGGACTCTTTGTTTTTTGGGTTAACCATTTTTTCTTCTTCTTCATTGGCCACTCAACTGCTTAAAGTAACGTAGATGTTTTGCAATCAATTTTATTTCCTTTATTCAGATTAGTCTGCACGTGCTCTTTGCTCCCTCCAAATCTCTCAAAACAATTCATGGAATTTGAAGTTGACTCCAGCGTGATGATTATTTATGATTTGATTATGCATTACATGATAAAGACGGGAACATCAGCTTCTCTTCAGTGTAACTTTATCATGCAACTTTACCCTGTTTAGTAGCGTTCAGCTGTTTTGAGGCACAACAGTTTGCCAGTTTGTCATTACTCTCTATACAAACGGCCTGTAAGACAGGTTGACTCTGTATTTGGGTCAAAGAGACCCTTGTATTTTACTCAAACAAGGCCACCATGTTAAGGTCACTCTGTGTTGGCTCTTGTTCTTAAACAAATCACTACCAAATAATCAGACATTTCTTTCTGTGATCTCAGCTTTGTTATTTATTATTTGTAAAATGCACTGAGTTATTTGCAGTCCTTTTTGCAACAGTTTTACAAGATTTCTGTTTTTTTCATTTCATGATTTATTCAATATGTTGTGAGGCTTGTGTGATATCAACCAAAAAATATATATATATATATATATTTTTTTTTTAAAATTGATAATGAATTTTTTTCTGAGTGTGAAAAAATCTAATTATTTCTGTAATTTTTTGTGCTTTATTTATTTATTTATTTATTTACTAATTTAAGTATATATTTATATATTTGCTTATTTATTTATTTACTTTCTTTATTTATTTACTTAATTATTTATACAGGTATTATTTATGTATTTATTTATTTACTTACTT